ACATTCCACTCCCTTCTTTTTCGCTGCTTCTCGCTTATGCGCAGACATGTGCACGCCCTGTCCAACTGACCCAAAACGTCACACATGCAAAAAATAAAATACATGCAGGGAAGCTTTCCTTTGAATGGATTGTGGAAATCTGTTGAGCAGTGATGTGTAAATCATTACATCAGAGTTTCTTTTCTCTGATAACATTTACTAAGCAAAGCAGATCATAGTCCAGCATCCACTTATCTCCTCTGCATCTTACAGAAGATAGTGGTTTTCTGTTTTTACTGATAGAAGCAACAATGCATACCTCGCTCCATCCTACATTTATACACATATCGTATTATACTGTCTCATATATTTTCACTATGTTTAAGGCATTCCTTGTTATCGATACCTATAACTTTCCTCTAGCATCAATCAAATGTTTACTATCATGTTCCTGGAGAGACCTTCAGATACACCCATCTCTTTTCTCTCTTCACCTCTCCTACATCCCTGGTCAGAGGACTCAAATTGAATCAGTGTGGTGTTTGAGTGGGGTAGCATCAGCATCATGCACTCAATGTACTCAGTGGATATGCGTTTAACACTGTGGACGGGGGCACAGGACAGTGAAGAGGACAGAAAGAAAGAGACACCAAGTGTGCGTGAGTGAGGAGAGAAAGCACAACGTACGCTCTGTCCCACTCTGTTGCCTAGCAACACTTGCTGTTCCCATGCTTACTGTAGACTCATTACTCTCGTAGTGAATTGGTTTTCGAGCATGACATGGAGCCATGTGAAATCAGGGTTTGTGCATGGATGGAAACTGGATGAGGCAGAAATGACCCCTTAAAATATGCAAATAACTGATGAATGTGTTATTTTACTAATAAAACAGGCTGCCACCTCTAACACAGCTAGGGTTCTTTATTGACTTGGTGAATATACTGATGTCACGTCAATTTGAGAAGTATGCTGTTCTCCTTTGGCCATATGAAATAAATGCAAAGGGGGAAAAAATCCTGGGATTGTGTTTCTTGATAAACACTTTTTTATGGCACGTTTTACACAATCACATTTTCCAGCAATATTACAAAAATACAGTTTCAAAGAAAAATTATAATTAGGAGTTGTATTGCTATTAAAATGGTTGCAGTAAAGTATAGAAAGCATGTGACAGTCGTTCCTTTTGGGCTGCAGACCTGAATCCTAAAATGCCATGCCAGTTGCCAACAAGACTACCAAAACATAATACAGAAAGATTTTAAAACACAACAGGGGACAGGTGTGCATCTGTTAGGGTCGGATGAGGTGAAAGATTACTGAAAACGGATTTGTGGTCAAAAACCCCAAACTGTCTACTATACAAATGTAAAGACGGGAGCAGATGGATTTAAGATTAAATAACATTCAGTAATAACAATGATGATCATGTTTGAAAACATCATTTTGATGCATTTGTAATAGCATGATTTAAAAAAAGCTCATTCCAGTTATAAGATATTCAAATCAGGCTTAGCTTTCACAAACATTTTTATTATTTTGTTAAGTTTGCTACACTAAGTGGCAATGAAGTGGGAATTAAAAAATGTTACGTCAAATGCAGAACTCCATAATTGTTTATTTGTATAAAAGCATTTATAATTGTAGATATCTTTCTCAATTGGGAAAATGTGTAATGCATGACTGAGCTATCCGTTTTTCTATCTTTGCTTAAACCAATCTTAAGACCGTTTAAATAAAGGATTAAATAAATCATGTGTATCCACATTGACACGTTTTAATTATCTTTATGATTAGGGTGAGCAGATGTTCCTTTTTTCTAAAGACAGTCTATTAATGTGATACTTTCTTCCAAGATCTTCTCCTCGGAAGTGGACCAATAACCTGTTTATTAACAGGACTATTTTATCATGGCAAGAAAATAAACTCTTATAGACAAGATCATCATTAGAGGGCACATTTCCCCTCCTGAAGTTTTACCGTGTCGTAGTAACACGGGCCTGCAGAGTGTGGTATAGCACAGTACCTTGCACTTGGCCAGTAGGTGATGATTGTGTTTGTTTCTGGCACCGATGATAGCCAGTTGTCTCTGGATCCACTGCAACTCCATCTGAGACCGCCTCAGCCGCTCCTCCACGTTCGCACCGGATGTGTGATCCCGCATTATCACCTGCCAAACACACACAACCAGAGATGACACATCCTGAAGCCACACACAAACCTCACATCTCCACACACACGAAAACCAAAACAGAACCATTTTACACACAAACACTCAGTATTTATATCCAGTCCATCTTAATTGCTTAATGAGTGTTTCAGATTCATACTTTTACTTTTGTAAAACAACTGGACTTCTGCACGTATTTGTTATACTTTTTCACTTATAGCTATACTTTTTTCCTTAATGTACTTTATTACAATAGCCAATTAAAGTATTTATTACTTGACATCAAAAACATCTGAGTTTTGTCATGCATTTGACATTTTTCAATGGGATTTAGATTTTTTTCCCCACAATCTTCTGCCCTTTTATTTCAGTATAGGCTACCATCAAAACAATAAATCGATCAAGCAAAAAAGTTTTCATTTACAAAATCGCCAGCATCTCAAACTAAATGTAAGAATGAACATTATTTATAACAAAGGCAAAGTTTATCATTCACAGAATAATTCTAGAAACATTTTTTTTTTTTTTTTCTTTAATACTATTCCAAGCAGGAACTCTAGAAAAACTAAACAAATCGACTGGACAAACAAAACATTTATTTGAAAAAAAGAGACATTGAATATTGACTTTTTTGGCACTTACTGTACAATTCCATCCACTTCTTTCATTAAATTACATGATCTGTTTGTTAGTGTAAGTATACAACTAATTCCTGACAGCAATATTTCCCAATCCAACATTGCTGCCCCATGCATTAGTAGGTACTGCCTGGTGATTGATAAATACATGTCTGTGTCCATGAGTATGAGTGTTCAGTGAGAGAGAGAGAGCCTCTCAGTTACATAAGAGAGGATTACTGTATCACAGCAACACAATGACAGGGGGGAGCGTGGAAAAAGCATCAGATGTTATCAGTCACTGCTAAATCCCCTTCTACGCATGTTGTCACATTTTCTACCTTTGCACACACACGGGAATATAGCATTCACAGTGACCAGTGTGTGCAGTAACACCAGAAGGTTAAGAAGGTTAATGCTGCTCGTACCTCAGGAGATTTGACTTATCAGCGTCTACTGCTGCATCATAATAAAACACTCAAACTGATTTCAGTAATCTGTGGTCCTCTTTTAGACTAGTGCACTGGAATAAAAAGGAACTTCAAAACAAGATCAGACAAAACACAACTTTGTACCTCGATACTATCAACAAAGTGTCAATAACTAATGCACCAAGAAATACAAGTTGTTTGTTTTCATGCATCCATCTTCCCCTGTCTCTCTCAGAGCTCCAGCCAATTGCTCAAACAGCTTTCCGTGCTGACTCACCTTGGACAGCTTTTTTTTCCTCGCAGGGGACAGGAGGAGGAGGACAGACACAACAAAAATCAACAACACAAAGCTCAGGAGTGCTGTAGATTTATGCAGAAATGTCCCATCCTGGCAAACCATCTATGAACCTGCAGTGGTAAGCATCTCTTGAACAGATTTATCAAGTTGAGAGGAGGGTGCAGTGCGTACGTCATTACATGTTTAGAAAAAATATGTATGCACATTGCATAGTTTTTGGTGTGTGCAGGACACGTAAATTATTGCAAATTACTTTAAAAGGTTGTTACCCATTCAAGTGACGCTCGTCGGTTTCTCTCATCCTCTTCACAGTGACCTTCTGTTCTGCTGGTTTTTCAAACCAGTTTCCCGGTTTTGGGAGAGTTTAATGCCATTTATTTGCCTTTTATTCCTCTATAACGATACTCCTTCGAAGAAAAATAAAAACATAGATAAAGACTCCAACACTTAAACGGAAACCTACAGGAGTGCAGCTCTCACTGCACTAAATTAACAATGAAAAGTGTTTCCTCCTTAGCATCCCAACGTAGGCTGCGTGCTTTGGACAGCCGTTCCCTGATATGAGTTGCTTTTTTCAAACAGTTATGATTCAGTTTCCTCTCACAATGTTCTTGTCCCAGAGGCTACCTACTGTGTGTCCATATGGCACACTTCACAAGAGGGTGGAACATGAACAGGAGAGGGAAAAGAGCAAATAAGGCTAACCTCTTACCTGTACGAACGACGAGGCCTTATGTTGCGGTCTGCTTAACGTTAGCGTACTTATCGGTAAGCTAGGGAAATATTTGTAAAATTGAAAGCTCCTAAAACACACGTTCACAACAATAAAAATATCCCAACCTGGGAACAATAAAGTATATCTTATCTTCGTGGTCAATCCGCACAGGTGCTCTCACTTTGCCTAATTAACTTTTCTCAGGCCTCGCGTGGACAACACCACATGCTGCCACTCCAAGCATGGCTCGCCTACCTATATCCTAAAGGCTAAGCAATCAACCTGGATAATTGAAAACACCTTTGTAGTTGTGCAGGGCCTTTAAAGCTACATTTCGCCACTTTTCTTAAGATAAGGTTAGACAGGTGGGCAACAAATATTCAGATTATGTACCTAATATGTAGAAATCCGATATTAGGCTGAATTGCTTACTGGTGTTATAGCAAAGAAAAATGGACATCTGCAGTAAAAGGACCATAAAAAGTATCTTGAACAGGTTACCAAGCACCAAAGAGCTGCACAGTTGGATGGTTAGAGTCAAGTCAATTATATCTATAAAGCAGAATACCCCAAATTTGCCTCAAGGGGCTTTATTATCTCTTCAGTTTAAGACATATTTTGTCCATTGACTCTTGATTCAATAAGATAATAAGAAAACCAGACCCCACCCACCCACATTATCAATGACCACATTGGCCAAACAACACAGAAATATGATTACAACCAGATCATATATGTAATATACAAGTCATTAAATACATATCCAAGAGATTTCTTTAAAAAAATTGATTTATTTACCATGAGCTTTGAGATTGTTTTAATGGTGTACAAATGTTACACATCAACGATCATGGACAAAACCCCAGATCAAATGTATTTATGTTGTTCTTCTTGGTGCAGCTGCTGAAAATGGTCTCGTGGAGTCGTGTTCATGCTTCCTGGTCCCAGAAATGAATATCATCCTCTGAATGCAGCTCCTTGTATCAAATGTGTTTCAATCCAGACAGAAGTGCTGTCCTAACACATTTCCCCCTCCTTTTAGCAACTCTGTGGCAATTTCAAACTCCAGTGGGATGTTCTTGATCTGAGACTTCTTCAGGTCTCTTTCCATCAGCTGAGGATAAGAACATGGGACACATTACTCATGCTATTCAGATAACCATAAGTATAAGATGAGTATTAGCAACATAATTAACTTCCATTGAGTTGCACTTATCAAGATTATGTCATTGTTATCCTTATTTACTTGCACTATATTTTTCTGTTTATCTGTGTTATTGTGTTGCTCTGTTGGAGAAGCCTGTGACCTAAGAATTTCATCGGCATAACTACACTGTAGCTATGTTCGTATGACAAAATAAAGAACCTTGAACCTTGAACCTTGAGTTTGGAATACGTCACCTCGTGTGTTGTTATTTCCAGCACCTCGTCGATATCGTCCTCTTTTCCTGACAAAGGTGTGTTGATCGCCATAGCAGCTTTGGTCACATCTGGATGGTAATGCTTCTGCAGTGTCTGTAGAGAAAGAGAGGAAAATAAGGTTAACTTCCAATTTGAATTAAGTCAGCTTTTATTTCTGAATATGATATTTATCTCCTTTAAATCAACATGACAAGAACCTTGGCTGACACTAGTCATAGCTCAGTGGTAGTCAGGGTCATTAATATTCATTAGTGAATCCAAAATCATTACTTGCTGAACACACCTTAATCTCCCACAAGCTGCTCTCTAATGCACGACACTGAACCGGGTCCTCTTCATCCATCAGGTAGGGGTCTTCTAAAACCTCTGTCATTATGAATGGAAGCATACATCAGTTATGTCCTCGTATTGTAGAAGAACATTAAATGTCACAACAAAATTATTTCAATTGGTATTAAATATAAGGAACTGGACTGCAAATCTGAAACCCCTGACATTTTGTCTGGTTATAAACAAATGAAATTCCAACCACGGGCTTGAGATTGAGTGACACTCACCGCCTTCCGTGGTGGGCTTGTGAATCAGGACTCTGCAGGATGGGTGGCGGCGGATTAGGTTGTAGATGAAGGGCAGCACGATGAGGAGTGCTGTGGGCGGAGCTGTGAGAGCCAGACGAGCCAAGCGTTTGGCGAACGCAGCCACTAGGTACACTGGCAAGTGACTGGAGGAAAACACAAACACAAACACATAAATGTTACTAATGCCATATGTACTTTTTGAGTTTTTATGGTGCTAATCTAAAACGCGGTGTAGCACAGTATTAGTTTACCAGTTTAAATATCCCAGCTACCGTTTTAATCACAAAACAAACAACTATAGCTGGTTAAAATGAGGGTAAAAAAAACTAAATGTTCAGTTATGGATAACTGATCTTACCTGGAGCTAAGGAAGAGGTTAGCTAGGTGGAAAAAGCGCGCTCTGTACTTCACGTGGAAAACAGAAGGCTCAAGCAGATTATACAACTTCTTGTAGAAATCTGGGTAATCTCTGCAACAAAAAAACACACACAGCATATACTACTTTATTAATGTAATTCAAAAACACCACACTTCTTCTACATATTACTCTGATTAATGTGAATTTGCCAAATCCTATACCATTTCATCCAATACTCACAGGTTGTGTTGATGTATGAGGACAAAGAGGCCATTGAGGGCCAGCAGGCTGATAGCCCCACCTGTTAAAAACAAAAATTCCATATTGTTATTACCATCAAAACCCTATATAAATTTGAGTCAAGTATCAAGACGTAAAAATGCAATTTTAGTTAAATTAAAGTAGTTATAGTCTCCACATTGACAACTTACCGACTTCATAGGCAGCAGTCAAGAAGTCAATCATCAGTGTGGGTTTACTCATGTGGGGCAAAATTGAGTCATGGAGGATCACCAAGATCTTTTTATACATGTTACTTGGCAACTACAACAGAGAGATGAGATGGCAGTGTCAGAGATGTGTACATGGAAGAATACATTTTGATAATAAAAAAAAATGCATGACTGTGCAAGAGTTTTACAATACCTTATACTTGAGAAAGCCCAGCCACATCCTCTCAAAGACACGCTTGTGTTCCTGCAATGAAGTAGAACATTTAAAGTGAGATTTAAAAAATCATTTGGGTTAGTTATGAGACTGTCTGGATCAAGTTATTTTACTTACATTCAGTTTAGCTGCTTTCCAGTCCTCATGCTTATCTGAAAAAAAAAAACCATCTGTTTAATGACCTACAAAAAACCTCACATTCAAAACAAACAGTGGATCATCAGCAAAGAATAATCTCTTTCTACGGCATTGCCATTTCTCACCTTCTTGTTGGACCATAAAGTTAGTGAGCTCCGACTCCTGGCTTGGTATACTGATGTTGGACATGAGCGTGAACACATTGTTCTGAAATATGGGCAACAATGCCTGAGAGGAACGAGACAACAGCATTTAACATACCAAGTAATGATAACATAGTAAAAAGTGTCACAATGAAAGCAAAATCAAGCACGTCTACAGCAGATTGGCTTATTTCTGAAACATTTTTCTTACCCCTTTGTTTTTGTCCATGACTTTGCCTACATTCTCGCGGATGGAGCTCATGACATAATAGCGCACATCCTCCATCTCCAGGAACTCCTGGAATCTGGAGATCAGCAGGGAGTTGTCTGTAGTTTTGGACAACAGTCTGTCCACCACTGACTGAAATGATAACACAAATATCAGAAGGCTTATGACGAAAAGGATGATGTTTTTTAAAGCATTTTGAAGAAACAGCTTTATTTATTTTCTTTGCAAATTACATGGAAGAACAGATAATGGGTAATAGTATTCCACCACCTATATTTTGTGTCACAATATTTTACCTGGAGGAGTTCTCTTGGGAAGCTGTAGTGCTCAGTCCAGTCCAAGTCCTCAAGAGGATGCTTTCCTTCTGCTGCAGCAAACTTCATCAGGCAGCACAGGGCAGTCTCCTGTATTCAGAGAATAAAAATCAGAAAACTTGATTTCTTTCCACCTGTACTTTTTCGGTGATAAATATAAGAAAATAACCATGGGGGCTGTAAGAATAAACCTTCCTACACACATCTCATTGTGCTTTTCACTTTAATCTGATCCCTCTCTTATGCGTTAGTCTTGAGTAAATATGTGACTAAAATAATTAACAAAAATAGGGACCCCTACTGCAGTGTCTGGTTAACTAATGTTTTGATTTAAAGCAGCACAAGTCTTTGTCAAGTCTGTGTGGGCACCATTTCCAACTCACCTGGACTCCGTGGAGATCATGGCTAAGGTGCTCCAGCAGCAGCTCCACACAGCTGTTGTAACGGTGTCGCATGAACATTTGGTACTTCTCTTCAGCACTACTCTCTCCTGAACCAGGAAGCAAACAGACAGACAACATTATTTGAAACTGTAATGGGAGTCTGTAATTGTGTTATTTCATATGTACAGACCCAGATCAGCAGCTACAGAGTGAAGCATGCTTATATCCACATCATTAGTAGCTTTAGCGTTAATTATGATGCATTTTCAGCCTGTACTCACCACTCACTGCCTCCTCTTCTCCAGGCAGTTTTCCCAAAAACAGCTCTTTCTTCTCCAACAAGGTGCAAAACAATTTGCTGCAGGCATTGACAGCACTGCCAACATCCTTCTCTTTTTCAGACTGCAAATACAGGGGAATACACACATTCAGAGTATTGTTTTAGTAACCTAGAGAAGTAGCATCATGCTTGTTAAAAACACAGCTAGCTAACCAGCATGTATCCAGTCGGGGTGCTCAGTGTGATATAGTTGATTATATTTACCTCAAGGGCCTCAAGGATGTCAAAAACGTCGTTGGCATTTTTTCTGCTCTCAAGTATAATCTCGACTTTGGCATTGAGGTCAATTTTTGCTTTTTTAACACTCTTCTCTGCTGTTTCTGACAAACTCACGTTGCGTCTTTTGGCCGGCGCCATGATTAGTTGGAGATGCTACGTTCACGTAACATTTGAGGAATGGGACATTCTTTTTTACAAACATTAAAGAACATCCTAGAAATGTTGTTGATGAAAGATTTTAACAAATGATAGTAAAGTACATTAAACACTGCCGTATTATGCGTTACAAAATATATGTTGTTTTATAATGTTATGTTTTACGGGCGTTTGATCAAGTGCAGCAGTTGAGTAGGTCTTAACTGTAAACCCACAGGTTCTTGAATGCAACATTAATCCCAAGCACTCAACTGTGGTGTTGCCTCCTAGTGTCTGGAGGGTAAAGTTCTACATACATATCATCCATGACAGCTTTAAAATGTACATCAAGTGCCTCAGCTGCATTTTGTCAACACAATACTTTCTGGTAAAAACCTATGATAAAGTAATAAACTACTGTTGCTATTATACAAATAGATTATGTATTTTAATAGTGATGCTCACGTTCCTAATTGTAATACTGTATATGGCAGTAAAATGGACTGAACATTTAAGGTTCACTTAAAAGTTTATAATTTAATTTACAAAAAGAAAAATAATTCAAATAACCAGCACAATGAACTCACACATTAAGATGCTTTACAAATTGGAAGACAAAGGGCATGAATATGTTGCTACCTTATGAACATATTAAACAATCGGGCATACAAAAGGCCTATGATGTGCCTAACTAACCACACAGAGTGCTTCCGCTTTACTTTAAAAAACATTCTTGCACTAATGGGGCTGAGACACAGGTTGGCAGGGCATCTGCATTTATTAAAGGTAGGACTTATCAGGAAAGATATCGGGGTACAATCAAGAATACAGAGGCTTTATTGTGTTGTTTGTTTAATAACATATGTAAAAGAGAAGCAGAATTAAATCCCACAAAAATAGTCAATCAAAAACATATTCCAAACAAATGAGAATGTTTTGTTGAGAAAAACTCTTCTTTCCTCAGACTGGGGTACCTAATCCGAGGCATTCCCTTCTTCTGCATTGTCCTGGGGAAAGAGAGCAAAATGAATATTAACATGCAACAAACAAACTTTTATTGTCAAAAATGAGGGTTTGAAATAAATGAAGCTACTCTATTATTTCTTCCATATACCTGTTTCTGGTCCTTGTTTTTAGTGTCAGTAGCTTTGGCTGAAGCCTCAAAGTCATGGATATGAAGTGTTGACATCCAGCTGACCATGGAGCCCTCATCACGCTCTGTTTCAACAATGCTGGGGTAGATGTGAGCCTCCTTAAAGGCCTTGACGGCCTCCTCCTCTTGGTCCCACTCCAGACGCTCGTGCAGCCCGTCCCCTCCAAAGCGTTTGTTGTACCGGTCAAAGTGAACCTTTTCCAGGACCAACCCCAGCCCTGGAGCTTTGGGCACATCCACCTTATCCTGTCCCCAGCTCCGCTCAATCACATCCTCCTTCGCATAACCCTTTATCACCGCAATCACCAGGCCGATCATCTTTCGGATTTGGTGCAGCATGAAGCTCTGGCCTTTGACAGTGATCACTGCAAACTGAGTATTGTTGTTGATAAAAGGCTCTCCGCACGAAATCTCTATGATGTACCGACGAGCACTGGGGTCACTTGCAGCCTTCTGAGAGGTGAAGTTGTGGAAGTTATGGGTGCCTTTGTAGGAAGCAAACAGACGGTTCACCCTCTCAAGTGTCTCTGGCTCAAGCCGAAACGCTGCTATGTTGCCAATGTCGTTGTCTTTTGGGGAAAAGGCCAGAGTTGGAAGCATGTAGCAGTATGTACGAGCATCACAGTTGTTCTTGGAGTTGAAACCCTGAGTCACCCGTTTGAGTCCTGTTAGAACAAATGTAAAATAAATGTTAGAACACCTCCTTTTAGCTTCAATTAATAAAACCAAAAGTTATAAGAACCAACGACTCACCGAGCACTCTGATCTGCGGTGGCAGATGCTCATTGATTTTTTCAATGATGTCTTCCATCAATCTCACCTTAAGAGACACCGCTTGGCCAGCTGCAGACACGCCCTAAACAGATTAAAATAAACTCAGCTCAGGTTTCATAATAAAAGACCAGTGATGTATGATTGTACTGATTATTTGCTTTATCAAATATAGAATAAAACTGAGAAAAGCAAGACATTTCAACATTTTAAAGGTGGGGTAGGTAAGTTTGAGAAACCGGCTCGAGATTGCTAGAATTTGAAAATACACAACCAGAGAAAATCTGCCACTTCCTTATAGAGCCCCTCCTCCAACACACACAAACGCACACATGACCAATGAGGGCACAAGATAAGTTTGTGCCCCGATGGAAGGCTGACAGGCAGGTAGGCCATCCAGTTATTTTAGCCGGGCCGGCTAAAATGATTGGTCGTGCTTTTTACAGTATTACGGCTTCCACAGATTACATTTTTTTATGGATTTTTTGTCAAAGCACTTAAGATATTCATTGCTATCGGGATGTTAAGAGCATTCCATGGAATATAACAAAAAGTGTATCTCGAGCCGGTTTCTCAAACTTACCTACCCCACCTTTAACGGTTGAAAAAACAAAACAAAATAGTTGGCAATTATTTTCCAATTAACACATTTTTTGCAGATTTAAAACAACATACCTGACAACAATGAGAGGGAGAAGAATACAGTGGATATCTTAAATGTTTTCGTAAAATGTGCCTTTTTGGCCTAATTATATTACATGAACTCCTGCCATGATATCTACCTTATCTGTTCTGGCACATCTTTGGAAAGACATCTTCTTCATGTCATCGCCATGGTTTTCAGGAATGCAACCTGATTTAACAAGTGAGGTGACCAGCTCATCTTCAATGGTCCTAAACTGAGTAGCTGTAGGATTTCTCTGAAACACAGAAAACAATTCATATTTGGCAAAAGTTAATAGAAATGTACTTTGAGAATAGAGATCAAAACAAAATTCAAACGCGTTATTGTCATATGCCGAGTAGCTATAGTGTAGTTATGGCAATTCAAAAAGTAAATATAATAAGATATACAAGCACAAGCTACTGTATGTACCTGCATGCCATAGTATCCCTTCCCGGAGTATGCCAGGAGGAGGACAACTTTCTTTTTGGGATATTTCTTTTCATCTTCAGTTGGTTCCTCTTCCACTTTTAATTTTTTTGTAGCCTGCAGCTTCTCAGCAGAGTCTTCATTTTCTTCATTGGCTCTTTTCAGCTGCTTGGCTGTCTGCTCATCTATGGATGCTTCACTCATCATGCAAAATAACTTACAAAGGCCACCTGTGAGGAAAGCACGATATATTCCATGATTAAGTGTAGCAATAACACCACTTCAGTAAAAGCACATTCAGTAAAACATTAGATGAAGTCTTGTTAGCTTATGTAACTGACGGACGATGAATTTGCAAAAGGGTTACTATTGCGAACAAAAGGGGTATTTAAAAACACCACGTGAACTATGACTCCAGGCACAATACATTCACTCACATTGTCTTTGTTAAGTTAACTCACCGTTTCTCTCTAGCGTAAGTCTGTGATTGAATAAGGCACTTAACAGTTGTCGGGTTTTAAACATGTCCTGCTAAACTCTTAAGCAGCTAAAGGATGCAGACTGGCATCACAGCCGGACTACGGAAGTTACCGATCAGCATGAACAAAATGTTCGGATATAACTTCCGCTGACGAACAATACGGTCTCCTAAAACGTAAATAAGCCGTCTAACTATAACTGTAATGCCTATTATCATAAATATTTACTCATGAAGTGTAGCTGTATCTAACAGTCCTGTAGTAGATGCGGCAACATTACACACATGGCCAATGTCAACTTTGACCTCTCGTGTAACTATCGCGAGACTCGTCCTGTTCTCACTTTTGTATACGTCATAGTAGTACTTGTAAAACCAATGAAATAAGTCATAATACATCCTTGATGTAGCCTCTCTGTGGAAAAAAGGAAAACGTGCATCCACTTTGATTGCAGTCTTGTCCTTGTGTATTTTATTTTAAACTCAGCATAAAGCCAACTCTCACAAAACTGCTATTTGAAGTCAGTTTAGCCTGATACTAAATGACTGATGTTCTCATTTGTTTACAATGAGTAGACAAATAACATAAATGACTACGTAGCCCTACATTCACTACATTTTCACCTACACCAGTTAACAGAATGTATGGAAAACATGTAATAATATAACTGACCACTTGAAGGCGGCAAATTCACATGGATGGAGGAGTCATCCAGCTGCTTTGGAAAATCTTCGAACGGAATGGTACTAAACGTGTTTTCGGTAATGGTTTGCAATCTAATCTGAATGTCATAGTCATATGTCAAAGACTGAATGAGATTTCTCCTCAGGTGGGTTTCAAGGACTACTAAATAGCCAGAACACACACTGAGCGTTATAATTAATAATCTGTTGTACAAGGAATGCAAACTGCAATTTATGGTATTTAAGGTTATACTAAATGTGTTGTTGAATAGCCTGACTGCCTGTTTCTAGAGGCTTAGAAAGACTTCTCCTCTACTTTGCTCAATGACCTTATTCAAGACATCAACTGGATCTTCATACAATTCAAACAAGCATATGTCATGATGAATATTACAAGATAAACAACATAAGCCTTTCTTCATAGATTTTAGTCCACGAAAAGCGTTACTATATCATTTACAGTAGCCACTCATCATGGTGTGCTGTGACTCATGTAACCTTAGTGCATGTGAGCAAACACCAAAGTCAAAGTCTACAGTGGCAGGTAGAGGTACCGCACTTCTAGAGCAAAGAGGCATTTATTTATTTCTCATGGACACCACAACAACAAGGGATGCTGGGTACCAAGAGACTAAACGTTTAACCATTTAATTCTGGGATGTGCACATGCACTTTTAGGGCACCTTATAAGGTGATGGAGTAATTTTGTGCTGAAAAGCCAAACATAGGCATGAGATGGAAAAGGGCCCCGGTTGCCACACGGGATACGACATTTGGTGAAGACTTGTAATTCAGAAGATACAGTTTTCCAGGATAAAAACAGCTTAGAGTATTTTTGTGAAATTAGCATTGCTTTACATAGCCTTACATGACAGTAGCAAACAGTGGCATGGATAATAAGTTCCCAAAATTAGAAACCATGAAATCATTGAGCGAAGCAAGAATCTCTTTCAGTTGGCAATGGTAATTATAAATGTATGTTATACCACTTAAATGTCCTTAATTAACCCACACGTGAAAGGTTAAAATTAAAAGAGTATCTCAACGTGGTGGATATATAAACAAACATTTTCTTTTCAGTAAATAACCATATATTTTGTTGATGACCTAGAAAACCTTGGGTGAAAGGTCAGTGGTGTCTTATCAAACTAGCAGAAATGTGCATCTACGCCCTAGAGCTAGTCATAAACAAAGCCTGCGTTGTTTTTAACCTCTGTGTCTTGACATTTCTCCTTTGACGTCGAAAAGAAAGAAGTACAGTATGACTTGCAAAGAAATCATCCGATCTCCAAAGAGAATGAACTGGCTTCACAGTGAGCAACTAAACAAGCTGTCCAAACAAACCTGAACCTTCCCGCACAACCTTTTGGCCACAGACTTTGCCAGCACATAAACATCCACAGCAGAACCTTTATCAGATTGGACTGTAACTCACTCTCTCTGCACTGCCCACACATATAACACAAAATAATGAATTAAAAAACATCCTCACTGTCAGCTAAGAAATCCACAGCTGCTGATGCTGTTGCCCTGTTGGCTGAGTTATATAAGCTGTGGAACAAAACAAAATGTATTTGCCAAATGTGGAAAGGGAATGGTGTGATTTTATTTGCAGATGAGCAAATAATAGAATATGCTGCCAAGTCGTATTTTTAAATTCAACTAGAGCTATTAAACATCATGATTAGTTTTGACTCAAGCTACATCTCTGCTGAATGATTTTTTTATTCAGGCTCAAAAGCGGCATGTGTGTTGTTCTTGTTTTTTAATTGTAATAATGCAACAAACTAGAAATTAGATATTGGAGTCCGAGGAATAACTGTCCTGTTTAACATTTAGCAGAATGTTAGATATATACATTTTAGTTGTGTGCTTCCAAAAATATATCAAGGCGTTGAGATATGAAATATGCATTTATCTGACCGGCTTTTTTGGTTGTATTTGATCATTTCAGGTTTGGAAAGAAAATCATAAAACATCGTTTCATCATCTTTAACTTTCCTACTGAGCACGGTTCTTGTTATCAAAGCATAACTGATTAAGGTAGTCACAAAACAAAATCTGGAAATGGTCTTCTCAGACAGCATTTGTTTTTGAGTAAGTCATTATTTATTGGAAGACAGAAGTAATGTTAACTGAACAATCTATCACAGACTGGATCTGAATGTGTCCTTTTTTATTTTCATCACAGGTCTATGTGTCTGAATAGTTGCAGAGATGTTTTGTTTTTATCAGGCTAGCCCAACTGTCACCATAGCTGCACAGATTCAGTCTTTCCTTGTCATTGAGCAGAAGTCTGATTGTGACATCACACATTAATCACAGTGTCTTAAAATAACTTGTCTTCCTGAGAAAGCAGATATGGCTGCAAAAGAAAGACACCATCTCACACAGGAGTTATCTAATTTTCTTTAGGGGATTTTAACTGTGAAAGGATTCTCTTTGTTTGTCCTGTATGAGGATAGCCAACTAATGGCTATAATGGATTTCAATTTAGTCTATTATGTCAAAACCATAGAAATGTCCCATGCAAAAGGTCAGACGTGTCACTGACCATTTTTACGATGGCTTTAAAATATACATTCTTTCTGACAAGATACATGTCCACATACGAATTGATAGTGTCTACTGTGTTATATCACTGACACTGCTACTCTGTCAGCCTGTCAAAGAATGGGATTCTTCTCAGTCAACTATGACAAATATGGGATAACCAAACTGATGTCTACAGTATTATCAGGGTTGGTGCTGGAAGCCTTTCTAAGGGGAAATCATGTATCACTTAAACCAACCTTATCCTTATTTACCCACCACTCTCACTCAAAACAGAACATAAGATTGATGAGTGTTTTACAGTAGGGAAACGGATAAAAATAAGAAGCTCACTTAGATAGCAGGACATTTTAGCATAGAAAAGTGGGTGTTTATTCCTTACTCAACACATGAGATACATTACACACGTGTAAAACAGGATATTTTCCTCAAAATTGTTCTTTCTATTTTACTAAAATACATTTTTTTAACTATTTCCCTCCTTGCAACATTTATATATAATTATTACCCCATACTAACTATTAAATCAGGAATTCTGCAACTGGATAAATCTAATGAAAAAGGTTGGAATGAGTTTCAGTGTCCTCTAGTCTAGGGAAAAGGCCCTTTAATAAAAAAGCACAGCCGTCGTTGAAAGTGAAAGAGAGAGAGAGAGAGAGAGAGAGAGAGAGCGAGAGAGACTTCCGGTGTGTCCAACCAATCAGCTGATTCCACATGCGGACACTGAACACCGCATTCGACAAACGCGAGAGCTGCAGCGGACAATCCCGATTGGTGCCGATAGCGACGTCGGTGATTCCGCAACACAGGCAAAGCGAGCTGCAACAGAGCCACATGTTTAAGCCATCTATTTGGACCGAATTGTACCGGTATTTGCTGTTTTAGAAGAAGAGTAATATATTTAAATATCAAATTGAGGCTGTGACGTTTACTATGAATTGTTCACTTAAGGTCTCGCAGGAAACATAGCGGACTACAGCCGGCGAATTCAAGCGGAGCCGAACAGTTAACATTAGCTAGCTTTAGCCTGTTAGCTATCCGTTAGCTCAGAAGCCGCTATCTCGTCAACTCGCCAGACATCTGCACGCCAAACTGTCCCGCGTTGAAGCTAATTATTCCGTTACGGTCAACACCGTGGGATCCTCGCTCCTATTTTCATCAAGTATTTTTTTTGTTTTAAGTCCCGAGGTCACACTAAAGGAGGAGAGAACCGTGACAGGTTGAGGCTGGGACCAGCAGGGCAATACAAGCCGTGTCCTCAAGTGGCCGTTCACCATGGACAACACACACACAAAGACGGTTGAAGAAGTTTACAGCTTTTTTAACGTGAATGAAAGCACAGGTCTGAGTTCCGAGCAAGTTAGGAAACAACGGGAACGTTATGGACCAAACGGTAAGGAGCTTGTAAACAAATTATTTTTTCAAAAAACAAGTAACGTTAGCTTTTTATTTTATGCCGGTGTCATGATGGCCCGATTTGTAACGGTTGAACCAAACGGAAGGTTGTCGACGTCATGCACTGTATGTTGTAATACCGGCGAGCATCAGTGATGTGTCTTAGTAAACAATTCATCGTCCTTTCTTATATTAACTATCTGTGTATTACTGCTACAGTAATGTGCTATTGTTTTGGATTATTAACATCTGATATTTAAATAACTCATTGTCCATCTCTTTTGCCTGCGGTCTGAATGGGATGATCTGCAGAATTGCCAGCGGAGGAGGGTAAGTGGAAGCCGCCTGTATATGTTTACAATCCATCATTCATAATATTTTAATTAAATGGAAACGTTCATTTAAATTCCAGTTATTAAATTAAATGTTTGTCTTCTAGGTAAATCCCTTTGGGAACTAGTGGTTGAACAGTTTGAAGATTTGCTTGTGAGGATCCTTTTACTCGCCGCCTGCATATCATTTGTAAGTATAACACACATGTTTTGTTAGTTGTAGAGGTGGTTTGTGGAGAGTTAATTAAACCAGTCTGGACCTGATGGATCTGTCTTTATGAAACTCCCATTTAATTTTTGCATAGCCAGGTGCTCTGCCTTGTTTAGTATCAAGATAAGTAGTAATAAAAGTCTGTGATCAGATTGTGTCGTTCGTTGTAAAGAGATGCGTCATGCACTCTCAACTTGAGATAAAGTTGTCTATAAAGATGTTGGGTACTAGAGTTATGACTGGATAATCCATTCTCAGATCTTCATATATATACCAAAGCATGCTCCTTTCTTTCAAAACACAGACTAGTTTGTGTTTAGGAGAGAACATGAATGAGTAAAACATTGTCTGTGTTCATCTCCACCACATTCCTTCTATTTACTCTTTTTAGTGATGAGTTCAGTGCTTTTTCTTCTTAGCACAGCTCTATCATCCTACAAAGTGTGCACATAGACCTTCTCTGATTCAGTGTAGCGCCTTTCCTCTCCAAAGTGGAGAGGAAAGGCGCCCAGAGTCTGTCTAGGGACACAACCCAGATGACCATTTATTTTCATGATTCTGTCTTCTAGAATGATACAGTATGTTAGCTCTGCTTTTGGTCTCAAAGTAAATCACAAGTCATTAGATTCTCTTAGATTCTTGGTTTCAAACAGATTATGTTAATACCTCAATAGCCAAGTGGTCTATAGTTAAAAAATAAATGCTGACATGTTGTTAATCTGGCAACTAATGGCTATTTCACTTTATTATGTGTCACATTGTTGGGAATAGCAGCATGCTGTTTGTTTGGCTGTTAAATAGTAAAAGTGGCACACACCTGATGTCCATTTTTTATATTCTTATTGTGAATACATTTCTTAAACCAGACATCACTTTTGAGTCTTATTTTGATGTCACTAGTGATAAGCAATCCCTACTTTTGTTTATGTGTGACACGGTATACTATCCCGTGGTCCTGTTTCTCCTAGGATGTATTACTTGCGTATTGGCTAAGAACATCACTCACAAAGCCATGGTGATGACAGCCAGCAACGGTCACAAAGCTCATAAATCACCAGCTGTTGTAGTAGCGTTCAATCACACCAGCACACAGCCCGCCGACACATGAACATTTCTATCAGCATGACAGAATGTAGACAACAGAGAAATATACAAAGATGTGCACCGTTCTTTTTTTTCTTTGTATTAATTGGACATTTGATTGGCCATGCTTAAATAGCTTGGAGCAGGAAACGGGGGGCATTGGCATTTCGTTTGACACACTTCACTTCCTGGCACAGATTCTAAAAGAGGACAAAGTGGTTACTACACTCTCACTTTCTCTCCAATGACTTTGTAACACACTTGGCCCAGTTCCTACTATTCTGGAAGATACTGGCTTTGTATTTATTATGAATTATTAAATGATTGTTGGATGCTTAAAAATAATTATCCTTAATCTTTTAAAGTCAAATGTTGGTCCTGGCACAACTTTAATTACTAGGAAGGTGAATGAGTGTTTAGTTATTTGTGTTCTTTGGGGTGCAGCTAATCGTATCCCATCCTGATTTCAATGGGCTCAGTATCTCACACTTGACTATTATTACTTATTGAATGTATGCCGACAATGTTCATTCATTTTTCTCTCTTCTGTGTGTAGGTGCTGGCTTGGTTCGAAGAGGGAGAATCAACCGTTACAGCCTTCGTGGAGCCTTTTGTTATCCTGCTTATTCTCATAGCAAACGCCATCGTAGGAGTCTGGCAGGTAAACATGTTACATTTACGTCATTCGGGGTCTTTCAAAGCGTCTCTTCTAGAATCAAATGTTTATTTATTTTTATGAATACTCAGAAATGTATGCCTCCAAAATATGGGACACAAACTATGTTTTTTGAAAAGTCTATAATGAGGTTTTAATAAAGACATTGGAAATATAACATTTCCCATTCAGGCCAAGGATACAGCGCACATCCCCTCCGTGTAAGAACACTCTAATCTGAAACACCTCTTCTTGTCTCAGTCACACGTGAAACCTGGCCTGCTCCACTTCCTCCTCACTTGGTATATTCTCGTCCACATTCATTAACCTATCCTTTTAGGGAAACCGTATCTCACGCCCTTTGACTATGCAGGGTCACATTATGTTGAGGGTGAATCAAGTCAACAAATGCAATTGTTTTTTCTTTGTGCTGGTAAGTGGTTTTAGCTTTCCCCCAGGATTTACGGTGTCGATTTCTATGAGAAGCATTATTGATCTTTTAAAATGCACCTTAATTATAGGCAGGAAGCAAACCCAGCATCAGCTTTGTATATAGGCATTCATCACAACACACAGAAAAGCAAATCAATTATCCTTTCTTTTTCATGACACCTTTTCAGTCAAAGTCAGAATTGCCCAGAATATGTCTTATTTCCCCGAAGTCAGTTATGATGGATACACACACCGAGTTCTTCCACCTGCCTTTTGAATGCAGCCCCAGAACAGTTAAGGATATATTTAATTGACATGCTTTTTAATCAGGCATTAATTAAAATGTTAGTCAAGCTAATTATAACAATTATTAAATAATATCTCTTTAGTAGCCATTTATTTTTCACCTGGCCTTTCTACCCATAAGGCAATATCTTTTAGACGTCTTCAGGAGTATGTCCTTCATTCTTAACTGAACAGATATCATTTAATATGCATCATATTATTCACTAGATTCTTGCTTGTTACACATAAACATTAGTTTAATACAGTTAATAAAGACCTTGAATCTCCCATTTAAATGTTTTTGAGGTTTCAAAATGGACCAAAATCAATCCCCATGTATTTTTTATTACACCACGGTAAAAGTAGATGGCTGGCAGGTTGGGTGGGTTTCTGCTGGATTGTCTTGTAAATGAATCGCTCGCCTAAGGTCCTGCTGAGGCTTTAGTAAATGGAGAGCTGTTGCAGTAAGTGGCTGGTTGTTTGACTTTGTTTATGTAAAGCAAAGCCTTTGTAAATGATGTAGAAGTGGAGGAGGCGATGTCTGCTCCTGCTGTTATTCATATGGCTCTACCTATTCAAAGCAGTTGATGTTTTGTGATTCCATTTCTTTTCCAAGCTTCTTTTTAACCTTGTACCATTAACCTTTACCAGCAGCCATTTTAGTAACTGCGTGTCCCTGTTGCTATTCAGTTAAAAAACCTTAATGTCCCGAGGTTGTGTGCTTGTCTTGCCGTGTCTCGTTGAGTGCTGCCTGCCATCCTGCCAGCGTGGCTGGGAGCTGCCACTAAAGCTGTCCACTCTCAGAGCGAGCTGTCAGGCACCGTGAAGTCAGCACTAACACAAAAGTGCAAGTGAAGAATGATCAAGAACGAACTGAATAGGCAATAAGAGAGCATTACGACAAAACAGAAGCAAGATGTCACTGTAGTCTTCGGGGCACTTGTATATACAGTATATTTTGGGTTTGGAACATCGACATTGATAGGGTTACTCTAAAATGTATTGTGTCACATTTGAAAAGATAACCATGTGACCCAGGCAAAAGCTTTCTTGTTTTTTTTTCTTCGTCTTCAGCCTTTTACAACATGTACCAGTGTTAACATTATTCTCCCAGCCATCTAGCCTAGACCACTTGTCATGTGCGCTTAGTTTGCTTTTTGTATGTGTTTTTTTGCTTATGCAAAGATTAGACCCTTATCAGTCAATTTGAATAATGCTGCTCTAACTGAAACAGCATGTCTGAGACGTCACGGTCTCCATCTCCCCTTTCATCCAGTTCCCGGGAAATGCTTGGTGTTGGTGTGAAATGAACTTGTTAACTTTTGTTCCCTCTTATTTCCACTCTTCAGGAGCGAAATGCAGAAAATGCCATTGAAGCCCTTAAGGAGTATGAGCCAGAGATGGGGAAGGTGTACCGTCAGGACAGAAAAAGTGTCCAGAGAATCAAAGCCAGGGACATTATGCCCGGGGACATTGTGGAGGTGGCAGGTAAGGTTAAAAGCATTTAGCTTTGTTTATTCCCAAGGCAGTCTCCCAAGTGCGTGCATGCAAGTAACATTACGCCTATTGCATTGAGCGTGCGAGCTTTTGCACCTTAACATTCTTTTCAAGTTTTTATTATTTACATTTTTTCCCATTTATTTCATCTGATAAGTCGCCGACATGCTTTTCATGTAAACTATAAAGAAGGATGAATACGTGGCTGTCTCTCAACACTCGGATGCTTTTAGTGACTGCGGGAAATGTACGAAGAACATTGTTCATCAGTTCTGTAAACATTATCACCAGTGTTATGACGTACACTTTGCACAGATTTAAACACACACACGGCTGATCCCTGATCTTGTTCATCCCCTTTGACGGTTTCTGAAATAATGGTAGTGCTGAGTTAGTAAAGCAGTTATGCAATACAGGGCAGGGGCCCAAACTGTTCCACAACATTTTATTTTCTTGGCTAACTTTAACTTGAATAAGGCCACATGTGTTTTTTTGACACATTTTTGCGTCACTGTATTGTTTTGTATTCATAAACTGCATTTATCTTATTACCCGACATGGCTTCTAGTGACTCTGGCTTTTAACTGCAGCTGCTGCACAAGTAGTGGACATTTAAAATGACTTACTCGCAATGTATTTTTGTATTTCATTTTCTTTAGTTTTACCTAAATTAAAGTTAGAGGCAAAACTGGAAGAAACACCATTGGGCCATTTGATTGGCCGATTGAGACAAGCCATTTCGGATTGGTCAATTATAACAAGGAATCAGATCCGGTGTTTGAAAAGAACCATCGTATTGGGCAATTGAAACAACCATCTGATTGGCCGACTTAAACAAGCTATTTCATTGGCCAATTGATATAAGGTGGTTTTTGGTGCATTCTAATTGTATTATCTATGAACATTTGATGTCATGTTGCTTTAATTGTAGCTATTGTTCAGCTATAGTTAGCTCTATTAACAAATCAGCTGTCTATTATAGCTAAGATTCCAGCTGATAAAGATTTTGTGTTGAGTGAGCACAGGCTACAGACTGCCAGCGTTGTGTTTCCTTTATCTTCATATAGTGGAAGCTGGCTGCTGCTGAATTAAGGGTTGCCTTGTTGACACATACACGTTTATTGGCAGCCATTGAGCACGAATAGTGCTGAGCAGCAGCGCTATTTTAGTTTCAAACGTTTCTGAGCGCTGAATGTCACAAAGGGTTGCTTTACGTAACTGGACAGGCAGGACAAAGATTTTTTTTAGCTTCAGCCATTCAAACATTGTTTTGTCTCCAGAGTACGGCAAGGCTTCATAAAAAATCACAAGTCCCCTCGTTTTTATTTCCATCGGCGCTTCACTGATGCAACAGTTAGTATTCTTTGCTTCTTTTTGCTTGCTTTTCTTTCACCGTGCAATTCCTTATTCGACAAGAGTGTCTTAATCTGTTGCCGAAGTGATGGCCTTGACCCTTGTAGCAACCACATCCTGTGCAGAGGAAATAAGAGTGCCCATTCCCTCGCACTTTATTTCTCTTCCCCGCATTCATTCTTTCTGGCTGTATGTAACTTGAATGTGTATTATGCGAGACTGGCCACCCCTGTCCTCTTTCTAAACCAGTCTGTGGGCAGTGTTCACCATTAATGTTTTTATGCGATGAGGGGGGAGAAGACAGCACGACAGGATGTAACATTTAGAAAGGGTACAGACTCAATTTGATAAATAATTTGTGCTCCAGATGGCCACATGGCCAGATTACCTCTCTTGTGTTTTAGAGTGTAGGATAGTCTGTCTATTGTCATCACCAAACCTATTTGTCTCTGCCCGTCCTTCGCTGTCTCTTCCACATGTCCACGCTCTGTGCTGTCCTTGCCAATGTTATTACTCCCATATTCGACAAAGCAATGATATGGAATGCACACAGTCATGGGTTTGTGTTTTTTTAAGGTTTGATCTCAATGTTTCCATTCATAAGAGACGTTGAGGAGTCCCTTGAGGGCTCGATGAACTCATGAAAGGTCTTAGAAAGTGGCAAACTACGTGCTAGCTCATCAGGGAACCGATGCACAGTGAGAAAAACAATATACAACCCCCTTAAGGGCTATAAAGTTTCACTGGACCCCACATGGTGTGCTGTGTACTCTGCACTACAAAGTAAATCCACACTTCTATTTAATATGAGTTTGATTGGAGTAGGACCACTGTTGGTTTAAGGGAGGAAAGGTGGGGACAAAGACGACAAACTTGTGTGTTTGTGTATGCAGACTGACATTTGTCCCTCACTCTAGGGAAAATATGATACAATCTTTTGTTCACAAGGGAGAAAAAAGGTCTCTTTCCCAGAGGCTTTCCACTCTTTCCCAGAAAAAGAGCAAAACAGAGCATGGGATGTAAGATGAAAAGAAAGATCACTCTCAATTTGAGACAGCTGCAAGTTTTGGGGGAAAAGACGGCATATCTCTGAACTTATGGTAACGTATAAATCGTAGCCACATTATTAAAGTGTAACATACATAGAAACACTTATAACTGTATCAATACAGAGTTTACATTGAAATGTAATTGGGTTATTCTTCCGAGGAGGAATTAGCTTTTTATGACGATGAAGTCAGAACGCTTAATCATGTGAAACAGATTATAAACATATGTTTGATAATGATAAGGTTTTAAATACAAAATAATAATAACTAGGTCTTATGTCTTCTTGCTGCCACTGAAAGTAGATGTATTTCTTTGCTGTGACTGTATTCCCAGCGGTGAACACCAATGAGTGGTACATACGCTCACAACTTTACTTTGACGTAGGAGGTTTTTCTAATTAGTGACTTTTTCTAGAAAGCTTCCCACAGGACTTTGATTCTTAAATGTCTCCAGTGAGTACAGGTCCTTGTCTCCTTTCTGTCCTTCCTCATGCTACACTTTTACTATCTCCTGTCTGTTTGGGAGGGGGGGGGGGGTCTAGTTTGAAGAAGAGTAGGTGAAGTCTTCGAGCCTCCTGTCAAGTGGAGGACCAAATTTGGTAGTGCAGCTGGTACAGGAGCATTATAACCTCTGTTACGGTGCATCTACAGCGATAACATTGGTAATTGGTATAATGTAAACATGTTTGTTTTATTGATAACGTAGTTATTTCCTCCTTATAGTCTCTGTATTATGCTTAGTTACTTTAATCTGTCCCGAACCCACGAATGTGGTGTTATGCTTGAACAGTTTGTTAGAAAGCCAACATATCACTGTTTCTTTTGTGTGACGCGGAGCGGGTTCTCCTTGCTTAAAGCTGAAGTTTTTATCATTTCCCCTCCCCCAAATCCAGCAGCACATGTTTGCAAACTGATCAAAATAGTTTTCCCATTTTTGGACGTGCGTTTCGCAGGACGCATCTAATCCCCGTTCCCATTCTCTCCTCCTCCTCCCCCCTCTTCTCCTCTCCACTCAGAAGGGCACTGCAGAGGCCCGAGGGTTGGTTTACATGTCTGTCACCGCTCTACTGTCCACACAGTGGTCCCTTAAGAGCCTCTGGGTTATTTGTTTTTTTATTGCTCTTACCTTTTCACCCTGTCAAGCTGTGTTTTGTCTTACTGGAAGCTAAAAGTAAGATTTAACCTTGGGGCAGCAGTGGCATTGTTCAATGTGATTTTTGGATTTTAATCAAACGTGCTATGGGGACCCTTCTGCAGCATCATGCAAGCCAAATCAGGCGGTGTGGCGAATATGCCGCAGCAGGCTCCTGAAAAAAAAATGACTTAAAGGTAGGGTAGGTAAGAATGGAGAAACCAGCTCGAGTGCGCTAGAATTTGAAAGTACACAACCGAAAAAAATCTGCCCCTTCCTTCAGACTTCCTTACAGAGCCCCTCCTCCAACACACACAAACATGACCAATGAGGGCACGAGATAAGTTTGTGCACGAGGTGGAAGGCTGACAGGCAGGTAGGCCATCCAATTATCTGCCGCGGGCCGAGGCAGATCATTGGTCGTGCTTTTTACAGTGCCACGGCTTCCACAGAGGAAATATTTGTATATATTTATTGTCAAAGCATTTAATTTATTCATTGCTATCGGGATGTTAAGAGTATTCCATGGAATATAACAAAAAGTGCTTCTGAAGTGAATTACCTACCCTACCTTTAAATCAGACTACTTTCTCGGAAAGTGCCAGAAAAAAACTGTTTAGTTTAAGAAAGTAAGGGTACAAACTAAACGCAAGCACTTACCCCTCGCTCTGTGTAAGAGCTGGCGACATTGATGCTCATTAGACCAATTCATGGGGAATTTGAATCCGTTTTTTCTGAAACAAGCTCCAGCCCAAGGCACAGTCCCAACATATTTTCTTATCTGGCTGCGGTGAAATAAATGTAGTTGCATTCAATGAGATCATAAAAACGATCTGATGTAAAACTTTTTTTGTCCAACAAGCATGACGTCAGACACACCGTCCCCACAAACTTGCGGGAAATCTTGGACTGCTTGATTTGGCGTGACTGCCACCTTGCTTGGCCCATAGTTAGTGTAATAGCAGTTATATACAGGAACATAATAGTTCTGACACTTTAATGTACTTCTAGGATAATCTTCTCAGGTTATATTGTTTGTTTGTTCATCATAGATCTGACCTATCAAGAGATAATAAATTGCTTGTTGATATTTCCATCGCCATCCCATAGAAGTCTTTAAATCTTAAACTATCCCTTGAAAGCAGATGAGTATCCGAATGGCAAACATTTTAAATATTCTTTTCTACAATCAAAGCCTTGAAGTTCATTATCAACACTTTGTATCTGCCGGATCAGACCCAAACCGCACGTGAACTGAAACAGAAGAATTAAAGCTGTTTGATACTGTTTTAAGCAAAGCTAATCTTCGGTGGCTTTAAAAGCACTCGTCTGCCTTCTGCAGAGGAAACACTTGTTTGGACTTTGTTGTATATTTACATTTTACATTGGTTTAACTAGAGATTGCTAAAGCCATGTCTAAGTGGAAAGAATGAGCAGCAATCTATTAGCGTCATGAGATGAGTGGAACATTAATAATTCTATGAACGCATGACTTTCCCTCAGCCTCTGTTCAACAAATAACTTGAGTTTATTATTTAACACAGCAGTTGATTTTTTTTTCACAAGTCTTCAGTGTCTGTGTGGCGACTTTTGTTTGTTCATTTGGTTTATTTCAAAGTGTTTTCTCTTTCATGAGAAGATGGTCTAATTTACGAGGTGTCTTTTTACATGTAGAACATTTACTCAACTGGCTGGATACAGTATTTGATCAAGACTCATCTGCTTTTATGGCCTGTATTTGACAAAGTACCCATCCACCTGTCGTCATACCATTTACAGATCCCTTTAACTTGTAAAGAGGTCCTTTAATGTCTCGTTTGCTTTGTTTCTGTCCACAGTTGGAGATAAAGTGCCCGCAGACATCAGGCTCTGCTCCATCAAGTCAACAACACTGAGGGTAGACCAATCAATTCTTACAGGTAAAACCATTTCCCTTTTGTTTATCTGTTTTTTCTGTGATTCTCCATTTGCCTATTACACATACATGTATTTAAACATTTCACATGTGACCCATCTAGCTTGAAAATACAAAAACATGCATTTCCTTCGTATCATTTCTCCGCCTCCCTCTGCCACCGACTCGCCTCTTGTGATCAACCCAGACACTAAACAAGAATAAGCAATGTCCTCTTCCTTTTGATGTGCATGGCCTCATTACCCCCTGTTGTCATGGCTGCTCAGGCAGTGACGAAGCTAAAGGAAGGGAGCGTGATATGGATGAGAGGAAAATTAAATAAATGAAGTTGTCGATGGCTAATTAGAGAGCAGTGCAGATGGAAAGGATTAGAAGGGGAGACTATGGAGAGATGGAGAATGCACGAGAGAAAAGGGTCAAAGAGTCCTTAAGTGGCTCCTCTTCCGATGCTACCTTAATTGGTAGCAAATTCCACGGGATATTTGAGTGTTTCAGCTATGTTCTCCCCTCTTTCCTCCCCCATTCATGGCGTTACAGCTTGTCAAATGCTCCCTTACTTACGGCATTAGAAAAAGTGCAGCCCAGTTATTTACTCACATCACATATGGGCTTTGAAAGGCAGTGGCGTTGCAGCGTTTGATGATTGTCAGGCCTGCTCAGTCAGCTGCAATGCCTTTTCCACACATATCTGCCCAATGTGTCAACCAAGCATCACAACCTCCACTTTTCCCTCTCTCCGCTCCCCTCACTCACATGCTCTGTTTCCACTTCCTGCAGGAGAGTCTGTGTCTGTGATCAAACACACCGACCCTGTGCCGGACCCGCGTGCCGTCAACCAGGACAAAAAGAACATGCTCTTCTCTGTGAGTGACCCACAAGACTATTTAAGTCTGCTTAGTATTGTTACCCTTTTATCTTAACTACACCTATAAAAAGGATGTCCTGCTGTCATCCTCCTACTCATCCGCTTCAAAGCTTTTTTATCCCTCTTCACAGCCATTTTTCTATTCCAGAGTGTCTTTTTTGGAACATACGGAATTAGCCCTTTATATTGTGGCTTTCAGTCTCTTGCATGCGAGAACCTAACAGTGCAAGTCCAAACAGCTTCCGTGTCCATTCATCTACAAAAGAAACATTTACTTCCATGGCAGCTCCCACGGTTACTTGGATTAGTTGAGGAGTGAAATGTATCGACATGTTGACACTTGCTGCTCCCTGAACCTCCTCGCTGTGTCTTTGTGACACATGGCTCGTAGTCGCCAGACCAGTTTTACCCCCAGAAGCTTTTCCGTTTAATAATACGTTTTGTTTTCTGCCGCCTCCTCCACAGGGCACCAACATTTCATCTGGTAAGGCTGTGGGTGTGGTGGTGGCCACAGGGGGCAGCACCGAGATCGGCAAAATCCGAGATGAGATGGCAGCAACGGAGCAGGAGCGCACGCCGCTGCAGCAGAAACTGGACGAGTTCGGACAGCAACTATCCAAGGTAATTTATGAACTCTCTCAAACAACCTCTGCTATTCCTGTATAATTTGTATTTGAGTTGTGCGTAATTGTTTGCTATTATGATTTTTAAGGTCATTACGCTAATCTGCATCGCTGTGTGGCTCATCAATATTGGACATTTCAACGACCCGGTCCATGGAGGCTCCTGGATCCGAGGTGCTGTCTACTACTTCAAGATCGCTGTGGCTCTGGCAGTTGCTGCAATCCCAGAGGGTAAGCTGGCCACACACACGCTCACACACACACACACACGCTCAGACACACACACACATGCTCAGACACACACACACACACGCTCAGACACACACACACACACACACACACACACACACACACACACACACACACACACACACACACAGCCTTGCCCTTGACACGCTTGTTGCTTTGAGAGCCTTCAATGATGTGCCATTATTCAGACTTCAGGAACATTTTGTTCAAAAATCCGACTTTTTAAATGCTTATATTTAATACTTCATGATACAGGATGTCTTTCTCTAACAGCTTATCTCCACTCATGTTTGTGTTAATCCTCTCTTTCTCCGTGGTTCTGTTGCTGCTCCTCTCAGGTCTGCCTGCTGTCATCACTACTTGCCTGGCTTTGGGAACTCGGCGCATGGCCAAGAAGAATGCCATTGTCCGCAGTTTGCCGTCTGTGGAGACCCTTGGCTGTACATCTGTCATCTGCTCTGACAAGACCGGCACGCTGACCACCAATCAGATGTCCGTGTGCAGGGTAAGAGAGTGAACAGGGGCAGAGAGGAGAAAAAGTATCAGCAAAAGCCTGATTGTGAATTTCTCGCATATCACCTTTTTATAGAGAATCGAATCAAATTGTACCTGGCTGTTTGGAGTTTGAAAAATGCAATGTTTATCTAATTTAATGGAGTATGTTAAGTATTTCTAAGCATTTTGTTTAACCCTGAATTGTAGATCTTACAGCAAGTCAATTATTGCCATTTTTCACCTCACAGGCTATTTGTTGCCATGTAAATGGGCTCATTAACCTTCACCTGTCAGCTCGGTTCACTGAAAATGTTGACATTCTTAGCTTATCTTTCAACCTTTACACTGGTTTCATAGTAACCAGTGTAACCATGCACTTCAGAGTGTCAACAGGTTAGAGTGCCCGACTAGGCTACTAATGAGTTCACACTATAAGCACAGCAAAAGTATTTTGTCATTAAAGAAATGACCAATTATCAGATGGCAATACTTGTACAGCGACGGTCATAATAATCCCTCCATGCTCCTCCTGGCTAAAATCCCTACCACTAAATGATGTTTAATAAGCACTCGGTGACAGGACAGTCTCAATATGTCTCACTGGATAGGTTTATTGGAATAACTGTGGTTGGAGAAGTGAAATTAGGAAAGGATTGCATCAGGGAACATTTAAGTGACACACCAAAATTAAACTACAGTCGCAGTGTACCCTTTGGAGTTGGAACTGCAAAGGATTACATTATTTTATTTGTCTCCTTAAAGCTTTGTCTCCTAACATTTTATGGACCAATCTCTTAACGATTTCTGAGGTACCAAAAATCGGAATAAAACCACAATAATTATTCAAGTTGTTCAGCGCATCTTGGTACGGCATAAAGATGGGTCGCTGATGTATGTCTGTGTACATCTTCACCATGACAACAGTACGATGAAAAGGTCTGCTATGCATAGGAAATGTAAAGAAATTGGAAAAAAGCCCAAAAATAAGTCGATTTTTTTAAAACAGTTGCCTTACATGGACAGAGCAATGGTAAGCGAAGTTATAAACCTTTTCCTGAGAAATAAAGCAACCTTGACGGCCTTTTAATGACAGTAGGGATTTACTGAGCTCCAAGCATTGCTGACGCTATATGGTTAATAATGGAAAAATATGATTTAGTTATACACAGGCAGCGATGCAAATTGATACGTGTATACATTTTCCCCTTTAGTAACGTTATAAGCTCATTGTGTGACTTTGTATTTCCTCCTGCCCTGCGTCTCCATCTTCCTCAGTGCTCTTCCTCAGCCCGTTATCTCGCCGCTCTTCTGTTTCCCTCCTCTCTCCTCTCTCCTCCCCCTTCTCTTTCAGGCAGCATGCTGATCAGTATGCAGTAGTTACTCACTTGCAGCAGAACCAGCAGTAGAGTTGCATAAGTGACCTTGTGTTGAAAGATGTCCTCTTCCCTTGCTCACCCTGCACAATTTTCTTACAGTCGATATTATGTTAAGCAAATTTAAAAGGCTTCATTTTGAAACTAACGGATGCTATTTCTGGCTATTTGATAGTCGGTGACGGAGAAGCTTGACGCATGCAAACCACTCGCGTCTTAATAGAGCTGAACTAAAATGCGGTGCCCTCAGTGACTCAATGTTCCTCCATCACGTTCAAGTCCTTTCTTTGTTAACTGTCGGATCGCCATTGACGTCACTGCTCTCTGTTGTCTCGACGCTGCCTCGAAGTGCACACATAATGCCAGATCATAATTTTATTCAGAGATTCCAGTTTCCATCCCTCATCATGTATTTCTGTCCTGCACCTCTGGGTGTTGGTGCTTCGATAGAAAGAACGTGTTATCTATCCATGTGTGCAACTATATTAACAGCTTGAGTGTTGTCTGACTCGAGACCTTTACTGTGTGTTTGTTTACGTCATCAGTTGATGAAAAGACCACCTCTTATATTTGGATAGCGAAGACAATATTAGTGGTGTGTGTGCCGTTTTCTTTCTTCCTGGTGGATAATTCTGTTCCCCCATGCTATTTCAATTTAAAGAAAAGATTAAAGTGATTAAATGAAGATCCTGAATAGACCTATTGCCGGTGTTCTTACCCAGGATTGGATCCTCAAGGTCAAATGATTTCCGCCTACGAATGATTCACTTCATACACTGTTCCTGTTGTGCGTCTGCACACAGAGGAATCTTGTGTCTGTCTCGCTGTAAGATGACATTTATGGAGCCTTCCCACCAGAGAGCTCAGTGTCTGCTTTGGCTCAGCATTTTATTATTTTACTCTGCTCTTGTTCAAGCATCTCATGATATGAAAGTCTTATTTCCTGTGGATGGTAGTACGCTGCCACCTGCTGGTCCGTCAGAATCCCACATCTAAATTCCTAAATCATTTACAATACAGTGTATACCGCACCTAAAATGTGGCAAAAAGACATTGTTACAGCCCTGATTTGGGCAACAATACTTTGTGGGAATACCACGTACTAATTGTATGTCTCTACAACGTTTGTGTTTCTAGATGTTCATCGTTGATCAGACAAAGGGTGATAGCTGTTCGCTAAAGGAATTCACCATCACTGGCTCGACATATGCCCCAGAGGGAGAAGTGTGAGTATTCATTCTCATAAGCATGTGTGCTCTGAGAGTTTGATAATGCATGCAAATCCCCCAAAATCCATTCTACTTGAAATTGATTGATAAAAGTGAAGGCGAACATGAATGTATTGTTTCTTACTTAATCTACAAAATGCTTTATTAATGAAATCTGCACAATTGTCTCACTTGTTGTCTTTGATTGGCTTTTGTTTAGGTTCCTTGATGGCAAACAAGTCAAATCCTCCCAGTATGATGCCTTGGTAGAGCTGGCCTCTATCTGCGCTCTGTGTAACGATTCCTCACTGGACTATAATGAGGTTAGTCGTGATTTTCTTTTCACTTTATTCTTTGGATCCAATAGGCGCTTTCACACCGGAGTACTTTTCCCCGTACTTTTCCCTTTTTTAGTTCCGATAGTTCCTGGGATTTTGCGTTCACACCAAAAAGAGAACTTAGTTCATGAGAACTTTTCCCCCCATTTCAGTCCCTGCTAGAGAGATGGTACTTTCCTGGGGAGAAATTGGCGGGGCGAATTGCAAACCACGCCCCGTAAAACTCTGAAAAGTTGCTGGGAGTCCCAGCGGCTTCTACTGAAGCCAGTCCCCAACTCCGGGGACTTCCGGCCGGGGACTTCGGGTGGCAGTATACGGCGTGAAGTGGTTTGCGGCCTGCCTGTAAACCCAAAGCAGAAGAAGAAGAAGTGACGTCAGCGGCTTCATTTGCCTAATCTTCCCTCAGGGAACTTATTCTGGTGTGAACGCGATCTGCTCTTTAGTTCCATGGGGGAACTAAGTGCTGGGAACTAAGTACGGCAAAGTACTTGGTGTGAAAGCGGCTAATGTGACTTTGGTACATAGTGCCTTAGATATTTTCAGTGACTTTTTCTGATGAACCATATGATTTCTTTTTCTCTTTGTGTCCAGAACAAAGGAGTGTTTGAGAAGGTGGGTGAGGCCACAGAGACGGCTCTCACGTGCCTGGTGGAGAAGATGAACGTGTTCGATACGGATGTCAAAGGCCTGTCAAAGATCGAGAGAGCCAACGCCTGTAACTCTGTACGTTGCCCTCCGTTCTTGAAAGTTGTTTCCTTGCAACCGAAACTCCATGATTTAATTGTACTTTATTCAAACGGTGACAAAACAAACTGAATGCAGAAATGCTAACAAACTGTTTGATCAAATCTTTAGGTGATCAAGCAGCTGATGAAGAAAGAGTTTACGCTGGAATTCTCCAGAGACAGGAAGTCCATGTCTGTGTACTGCACTGCAAATAAGGCCCGATCCTCTGTTGGCAAGATGTTTTTAAAGGTAAGATTTAGTAACATTTCAACTATAATACTCCTGTAGTATCGGCTTTCTCAAAGTCTATTAATGCCATTCAATTATATCTTTTTTTGTTAACTTGAAAGCACAATAATTATGACTTTAGAGTGAATCATTGTCCTAAGACTATAAAAAACACATTTGTTCACTTTTTAATTAAAGTGTTTCTCTTATACACTGTTTTGTCATTTCCTTTGTGTTTCCTCATCCTCCTGTCCTTCCCTGCTCATAGGGGGCCCCTGAGGGTTTGATTGACAGGTGCACGCACATCCGTGTGGGCAGTGACAAGGTGCCCTTGACCCCTGGCATCAAGGAAAAAGTGTTGTCAGTGATCAAGGAGTATGGAAGCGGCAGAGACACTCTGCGCTGTCTGGCTCTCGCTACCCGAGACCACCGCTTGGTCAGAGAGGAGATGAAGTTGGAGGACTCCGCCCGCTTTGTTGACTATGAGGTGAGAGCTGAGACGGATTTATATTACTCTCCCAAAGCTTCTGGTGTCTAGGTTCCTTTTCAGGTGTGACATGGTTTCCTTTATCTTTTATCGTGCAGACTGACCTGACCTTTGTTGGCTGTGTGGGCATGCTGGATCCTCCCAGGACGGAGGTGGCAGCCTCCATCAGACTCTGCCGCCTCGCAGGCATCAGAGTCATTATGATCACTGGAGACAACAAGGGTACGTAGAGAAAGTCACATTTGCAGAGAGAAGATTGACTTTGTTAATAACTTCCCTTGCGGTATGAGCATGAAAAAAAACCTTCCACCACTAAAAACACAAGGGAAATCATCACATCTAGTTCTGAATACTCACTTGCAGCCCTAAGACGTGTTCTCCTTTGTACCTTAGGGACGGCCGTGGCTATCTGCAGACGCATTGGCATCTTCGGAGAGAACGACGATGTTTCCAGCATGGCGTTCACCGGCCGAGAGTTCGACGATCTGTCGCCCACTGCACAGAGAGAAGCTGTGCTGAAGGCACGCTGCTATGCCCGTGTGGAGCCTTCACATAAATCCAAGATTATCGAGTACCTGCAGTCCTATGATGAGATCACAGCTATGGTAAGCCGCCTTATCTAACATGTCTTAGTTTATTCCCTTTTTAAATATGCAAAATGTCCTCTCAAAATGAAACCAGGAGAAATCAATGATTTCCAAGTGAAACATTAATGATACACTGTCAACTAGTTCTTCACACTTGTTTTCACTCTCCCTTCAGACTGGTGATGGAGTGAACGATGCCCCTGCTCTAAAGAAGGCTGAAATCGGTATTGCCATGGGTTCAGGCACGGCTGTTGCTAAGAGCGCGTCAGAGATGGTGCTGGCTGACGACAACTTCTCCACCATCGTCGCTGCAGTGGAGGAAGGCAGAGCCATTTACAACAACATGAAGCAGTTCATCAGATACCTCATCTCTTCCAATGTGGGCGAAGTTGTCTGGTAAGGATAACTAGTTTACCGTTTACCTTTTTTATATATCTTGTACACAATATACCATAACATCAGATAATTCCCTTCTTTAATTCTGCTTCTCTTGTGTGTAGCATCTTCCTGACCGCGGCGCTGGGATTCCCTGAAGCCCTCATCCCGGTGCAGCTGCTCTGGGTCAACCTGGTGACCGACGGTCTGCCCGCCACCGCTCTAGGATTCAACCCACCGGACCTGGACATCATGACCAAGCCCCCGCGCAACGCTCGCGAGCCCCTCATCTCAGGATGGCTCTTCTTCAGATACCTCACCATTGGATGTAAGTGGTTACCATATGTGTAGGGATAATTGTCCATTTAAACTTAGTCCTTTGTCAGATGTTATTGTTCATTGTCAATTTTTAGTGTGACATTTTCAGCCAAAATATCCCCCCCGTTTCTTCATTGCAAGGCCTGTTTGTGTTTGTTAACTTTAACTTTAAGAAATAACCGCAAGTGTTGAGTGAGTAGTTGGAAAATGTAGTAAATATGAACTGGTATTTAAGCTTCTAATGTGTGTGCATAAGTGGTGGTAAAACACTTCAGAAGCATTAGTCATCAACAGGCAATAGTACACTAGAACAGCCAGTTGTATTAATGCACAAGCTATCAATTCACTTGCTCAAAATCTGCCGCCATGGCACATTGTAAAAGTAGAGTTTATGCAGGTAGTCACAGAATAGGTCACTTCTAATTGCAGTTTGCCTTCATCTTGTATTTAAGTGACCGGCCTTTGCGTCATTGTGTGTGTGTGTGAGTGACGTCTTTCTGGTCCCCAGGTTATGTGGGTGCTGGCACTGTGGGTGCTGCTGCCTGGTGGTTTGTTGCTGCTGAGGATGGACCAAGAATCACCTTTTACCAGCTGGTAGGAATAACAGCCACACCGCTACCATCTTGCTAACAATGCACACTTCAACACACCAACCTAATGTCATTTTCTGTTAGCTTTAATCTATATGTTCCTTTGACTTCCTTTAGAGCCACTTCCTGCAGTGTGGCCCAGAGAATCCAGAGTTCACAGATCTGGACTGTAAGGTGTTTGAGTCTCCTTACCCCATGACCATGGCCCTGTCTGTGCTGGTCACCATAGAGATGTGCAATGCCCTGAACAGGTTAGTTTGAGCAAGGCATTCTCCCAGCTTTTACTACTGACAAATAAGCAAGATTGACATGTTCAGAATGATTGTTTTTGAAGTAAAAACAATTATAATAACTATTGTTCCATTTGTATATAGTGCTGGCCATTTTGTTTTACTTTCTCTATGTCCAATGTTTATTTGTTCATAATATATGCCTAACAATATAGCATGATAGGAGATCTTTAAGTGTGCTGGCTCTGAAGTCAGATTGAGTTTTTAACAAACGAGCTCCCTTGTTTTATTCTCAGCGTGTCAGAGAACCAGTCCCTGGTGAGGATGCCTCCCTGGGAGAACGTGTGGCTGCTGGGAGCCATCTGCCTCTCCATGTCCCTTCACTTCCTCATCCTCCACGTGGAGCCTCTTCCAGTGAGAAACATTTCTTTTCATTAGACACTTACCCATGACGTAGCGATCACATGTCATTATTTAAAATAGTGATCCACTGAACCACACCTTGACCTTTGTCTCCTCCTCCTTCTTTTCAGATGATCTTCCAGATCACCCCTCTGAATCTGACCCAATGGCTGGTGGTGCTTAAGATCTCCCTGCCTGTCATCCTACTTGACGAGTTCCTCAAGTTCGCCGCCAGGAACTACATGGAGCCCGGTAAAGAGCTGGAGAAGCCGGCCGGCTCCAAAGGCTGCTGCCTGCCTGCATGCTTGGAGGGCATCTCCTGGCCCTTTGTGGCCCTTACCATCCCCCTGGTGGGCTGGATCTACAGCACCGACACTAACATGGCCGACATGTTCTGGTCCTGACTGACTTGAGCACAATCTCGACTTTTTCCCATTTTCCTCCCCCGCCCCTCACCGCCATCACCTCCCTCTGTCCTCTCCCTCTCCCCTCTCTGCCTTCCTACGTGTGTGCATAGCTTGTGTGTGAGCGTGTTTGTAGAGTTAGCGTGTGTACTAGTGCGTGCCTACCTACCACCTGTGTGCGAGAAGGACCAACTTTAACACATAAAACGTAATGGATAATATAAAATGTGAACCGAGAAGACACCTGGTTAGCGTTAGGATAGGATATTTGAACGGGTGAGGCTTTAAATGCGAGTGTAAGAAAATCACCACTCCCGTAGCTGTGGACTTTGTTGCTTGTCTGTAAGAAAAATATACTGTTGACAGTTATTTTATTATTATTATTATTTTCAATATTGCCTTTAAGGTTTATATTTACTATTCTGGGAGTATCAGTTGTCCTATGTCACTACAGTAACAACAGTTATGTTTAGCTTCCCTCTTCTTGAATAGAAAGTTAAGAAATCCATCATCTGTACAGAGATAGAATTTTATGCAACTTTTTTTATGGCTTCGTCAATTCTTCGACCACTGTGGCTTTGACTTAGGGCCTTCATTTATGTTCACGTTTACCATTGTGTCTTCAGTATATCAACTCAGAACTCTTTCAGAGAGGACAAGCTCCGTGTGGCGGACGAGGACGGGGAAAGGTTTGGGAGTAAACGTTCGATTGCTCCGCTTCAACAAAAAGAAAAAAAAAAATATTTGAAAACAAATACGCCGCATGTCTTGTGACCAAGCATGAACTGTATGTGGTTTCTCATTTCTAATTTAATTGTGAATGTCCCCCACCCCCATGTTAGAGTTTAAATTAACCTCATGGATGTACTTTTTTTATTTTTACTATAATGATTTGAAAATAAGCCAGTTTTTCTGCACTGGGCAGAGCACAGCTACCTCAATGTGATACAAATAATCTTTCTTTTGCTCATCTCTAGATGCTTTTCCCTACAGGGTTTTGCTAAAGCGTAACATCTGAGGTGTGCCCCTATTTGCTTGTGCAAAAAAACGAAGAACAAAACATTTCCTTCCCCTTTAACATTTTTAAGGATATATTTTGTTTGTACTGATTTCTGACTTTCATTAACTTTATTTGTGTTTTGCTTCGGAGACAGAACTGAGAGGGGATGATGTTATTTACCATCTCATGGCGTTTGATTCAAAGGACAGTAATGTTCAAATCCTAAGACAAAAAAAAAACTAATGCAGAAAGTACTCCAAATGAACTTGGATTGCAAGAACCCAAAATGTTGTTTTTTTACTTTAAGGAAATATACACTCATAAACCCTTTGAATCAAAGTGTGCTCTGTCTTTATTTAATCCATTGACTTTGTGGTTTTCATATCCAGTGTTTTGTTTTGTGTATGTGCATATAATACTTGAATACAAACCATTTCAGACATATGAATGCTTCAGTGTCCTTGGCACAACATGACCGGCAGGAGACAATCTTAAATATTTGACTCTTGAAGGCTTTAATATCTGGAGGTTTGAGTTTGTGCCGCTCTGTGATCGTGTATCCGAGCCCATTCAGTCAACTGCACTAACATTTAGATGATTTTTTGTTTTGCCTCATCTAAAGCATGTCTTACAAGGTAGAAGCCTGGGTTTGTCCGCACCGTGTGTGTGTTTGTGTTCCACTTAACTGTGTGCTTTTCTTCCTCAATGCCTTCCATTGGCTCCCCTGTCACTAGAGTGAGTATCCATTTGCTTTCTTCACACTCTACTAAATACACATTCACTTCAGTAGAATCTAATGAAACAATAGGGCAACGGAGACTTTTTTTCCCAGAGTAAAAGCACCATTAAATTGAGAAGAATCCTGGGAAATGTTTTCTGGGTAACTTGTAGACTAGTTAAAGGAGTTTTAAAAAGTGATTCTACCCTTTAAAAGTATTCAATGGAGTGATTATGGCAAATTTAAGCAATTCAAAATGAATCATGCGTTGACCACATGCCACTTTTGGAAATGTTGCTGTGTGCTGTACTTTTCACCGCTCTGTCACTTGCCTATATTCACACTATAGTCACAGAATAAATTAAACTGGTCATGGAATTTTGAAGTGCTTTGTACTAACGTAGTTTTCTCTCCCTTTTTAGGTTGGCTCTCATAAAAACTGGGATAATTTTTAAAGAGTGGGCTCAGAGGCTGGCGTCGTCCTCCTGTCCAGCATGTGTGCTCACTCTTACCTTCACACACCTCTGACACTATGATGACCAGCAGTGTGTGTACCCTTGCACTGACAAAAAGGACACGTTTTCCAAAGTAATAAGACCAAATCCATAAAGGTATACTTAAAAGTGGTTGGAAACAGAATTCCCTTTGCCCCATGCACCACAACACATGACCACACACACACTTCCTAACATTCGTATGCCTCTGTGTGCAGATGCTATATAAACATGACACTATTCCATTTGTGTGCAGGGAAGTTTTCAACACCCTCAGCGTTCCTTCTTGCATGACAAACTCGTTTCCAAAATTCCATGGTAGCTTGTCACGTAGAGAATCTTTTAAAACACTGGGTCAAACGGTCTTAGCTATACATCAGTGTAAAAAACATCCATGCATGCGTTTCAGCTGTATGTAGGCTTTGCAATTTGTATTTATAGATTATAATGTATAATATTCAAATAAAGACATTAAGAGGGTTTTAAGATGGATATATCATAGATATGTAAATCACTGTTTTTATTGTAGCGGTTGGGGTAATTTGCACAACACTAGAAATTGAGAAATTACTCATGAACTTGACTCTGCTCTACTTTTTTTTTGTACTCAATTATCCTTCTTACAATTAAAGGCCAATAACTGACCCATTTACTTTGTAATGAAGTGCTCCTTTGCCATGAGAACAACAGACTTAACACTTTGATTCATTGGTAATCCTGCAATACAAGTGTTCTCCTGTTTTCTTATGCCTCTGCGTTATAACTATTATTATTACTGTCATGTATCTTTATCAACTGCTGTAAAACTGTGATCTATTGAGAGGGGGCTTTCCCCTCAGTGATACCTAGTCAAAGAACAACATTAACCATATGTAAAAAGACGATCATTATTGATTATTGACTAATAATGGTTGTACATGCATTACTGAGGTTGTGGTTTCAGGTAAATAAAACGATATAGTATTTGATTTGTGTCATTTTGATTTATTGCATAGCCTATGTGTTTCTCTTATAAAATTACATGAATTACTATGAGTTCAATGAGCAAAATTACCCATGAGGCCTGTGATAGAAAAACAGCAGAATGTTAAATACACACAGTACACCTCTAGTTTGTACAAGAACTGTTTTGTTAGAGTAATTTGAATTTACCAGCTGGTAATGCTGAATATGCAAAACTATTCTCAATTTGCATAAAAAATGTTATGTTATTTACTCAAAGTATCTGTGTTTACAATATTTGAAAAATAAACCCCAAAATGTCTTTATTTATAGATTGATTTATGTAAATAATTACAAAAAATGCAACGTTATTTTTTAGTTTCTGACTTCTTCTGGAATCTGATTAACCCTGCATGTATGATATCTCTCCACTAGATGGCAGTGTTACGTTAAAGATAACACAGCAGCACTGCTACGTGCTCTGTAACACCTGCTTTACAGGTAGGCCGACTGCCACTATCTTAAAGGAGCCCAGAAGGAGTCATATCTTGCATATTATTCTTATTATTAATTGCTAATAAAACCTGTAAGATTGGAGTGTTGGGAGAGGTATAGCTTAATGCTTCCTGACACATTTGAAAGGAGATGTTAAAACGAGTGATACAATATGACTTTATAAAGCTGCCTGAATGTGCGACATGACAAAACAATACAGTGTGGATCTATCTATTTTACAGAGACGACCATCCCTTGTTTGTTCGTGCTTTTGTATAATCTCTGCTTTTTTTCTTATATTTCCTTAACACAGAAAATCCCCCATGTCAACTGTTTTCTTATTTTTTTCTTATTATTTTTGTGTGTGTTTATGCTTGTTTATTTACCTGTTTATTGTGCGTTGGTTGGTTTACTATTTCTGTATCACTCAAAAAGATTGAAGTGTCAACTGAACAAAATGCTATACTATGTGACCCCAAACAAAAAAGAAAGAAGAAGAACGTGAGAAATGTGCCAGGATTTTCCTGATATAATGAAGTGTAGGGTGCTAATACAAAATGCCTATTTTTAATATTCTAATATAATATTCATAAAATAAACTAATAATGAGTGGGGGGCTGCATGGCCCTGCTCTGTCTCTTTAACAGCAGCTCTCTCTGGCCCCTCCCACTCCTGCAGCCCCTCAGTGCTGCTGCCTGAGATGCGAGCGCACACACAGCGGCACCATCACTGCCGAAGAAACGGGATAAACCTGGAAAACAACTGGGGGAAAGATCAACGAGACCACATAGGCACCGTGTTAAAACCATGGTCTAACGAAACAGTCCATAAACCGGACCACGCCGCTTGATCGCATCCCGTGAGAAACTCAGATGTTGTCGTCGCTTGGGTTTTGCGCTTTTTATCCTTTCTCCTTGAGCGCTGCTGGTACAAAGGCTCTTGGTGTGGAGCAGCACCTGGGATCACTGCCGTATGAATGGAGTGAGAGTGATCGGACCTGCTATCACTAACAAACCCGGAATAGTAGATAGTGAGTAAACCTCGCAGGATTAAACCACTTTCTTCTTTTTTCCTCTCTCCCTGGGAGCCAGATCCCAGTGTCACCCTGCGAGGACAGATGCTGTCATTGTGTCGAGGCTGAGATTGATCTTCTAAAAGTGTATTTTCTCGTAATAATGCTTGAGAAAGACGCGCGTTATTGCAGCTTTTTGTTCCTTTTTATGCCCCACACATTCCCAGCTCTTGCTCTGGCTGAACAGCCGGTTTCTCTTGTTCAGAATGGGATTTATTGTATCTGCGCAGCACACGACAAGTGTCAGCAATTAGGCAGTGTGTTTCTGCACGGGTTACCTAAAGGCCTGTTTTAAACACCGTCACTTTAAGTGGCCATTGTTGTCGATAAGGAGTCAGTAGCGAACTGGACTAAAGAAAAAAGACAAGGGCTGCCATTGCTTGAATCCCTCGGTGTGTGTGAACCGGGGTCCGTCACAGTAATAAATCAGGCACAATATGGTGGAGCCGGTGGGATTCACCGAGGCGTGGAAAGCGCAATTCCCAGAGTCCGACCCCCCCAAAATGGAGCTGCGATCAGTTGGTGGCATCGAGCATGAGCTGGAGAGGTGCAAAGCGTCCATCAGACGCCTGGAGCAGGAGGTGAACAAGGAGCGCTTCCGCATGATCTACCTGCAGACCCTCCTGGCTAAAGAAAGGAAGAGCTATGACAAGCAGCGGTGGGGCTTCAGAAAGACCCCGCTGGGTGAGGGGATGGACCCTGCAGCCGCACAGGGCGCAGAGTGCCAGTCCCAGCAGCCACACATGCAGGAGACTGGTGGAGTTGGAGTAGCAGTTGTTGGTGGAGTGTATGGTTGTGGCAGTGTTGATAGGATCCGTTATCAGCCTACCGCAGATGGGACTGGAAGGTCCAAACCCAGGCCTCCACCAGCCAGGAAGTCGGCCTCCCACGGAGACGGCCTGGAGTCCGCCTTCGAGGTTCCCCCGCAGGCTGAGTCCACTTCTTGTGACAACCTAGATGGCCTCTCGCCCTCTAAGCAGAGAGGTGGCATCTCCGCCTCTCCCCGCAGGATCAACGTTCCACCCACAGAGAAGGACTTGCCCTCTGACCCCAAGGACAAGCTGGGGATGGGACTTGGCGTTGCAGCTCTTAGGTCTAACTTTGAGAGGATCAAACGGGCCAACTCTCACACTGCTGGGGAGGCAGCGAAGGGCCAGGAGAAGCAGTTGCCGCCACCACCACCGCCATTCTACTCTAACATGGAATTCCACCAGGATCGGGGGCTGATCAGGGTCAACGACCGTGAAGTCTCGGACAAGATCAGCTCCCTGGGCAGCCAGGCCATGCAGATGGAGCGAAAGAGATCTCTCCATTCCCTCCCAGGTAACCTGGCAACGGTGGCAGGGGACCTCCGCGCCAGGCCGGTGTACAGAGGCCGCTCCACTGAAAGCACCTGCGGCTATGACGCAGAATATGAAGATGGGGAACCCAACCAGCGACATTCAGGGAGGGCCAATGGTGGCAAACCTCCACCTCCTCCTTGGCAGCCCTCGGAGTTCCAGGCTTACTCTAGTGTCTATGTCGGCGGGGTGATGATGGGTGAAGGTGGCGTTGGAGGTGTTGGGGGAAGTGGTAGTGGAGTCACTATGAGGGAACTTGGGGCAGCCGATGACCACCTGCTGACCTGGCCACGCCGTTCCTACTCCCCAGGGAGCTTCGAGGATGTCGGCGGAGGAGGCGGCTACACGCCAGATTGCAGCTCCAACGAGAACCTGACGTCCAGTGAGGAGGACTTTTCCTCAGGTCAGTCCAGCCACGTCTCACCCAGTCCCACCACGGCCTTCCGTCGGCCTTTTAGAGAGAAGAGCCGCTCTCCGTCCCAAAACTCCCAGAACTCCCAGCATTCGTTCGACAGCAGCAGCCCGCCGACTCCTCAGTCCCAGAAGCGACACCAACGGCAGCAGGGAGGCCATGTGGTCATGTCTGAAGCCACTATAGTGAGCGTTCGCAAGACTGGTCAAATCTGGCCACCTGCTGCCCATCATGACCTCGTGCCCCACGGTAGACCATCCCATGACAACAGTTTCCATGGAGACCATATAGGTGAGTGGAAGCTGCTGTCTCTAATCTTTGTTGTGGTTGGAACAGATGGTCTGGATTGCAAAGGGCATTTCAGACCCATCATAGAAACCTGTGTGTTGAGGAAGAAAATGTGTGAATGAGTGCACTGTAGTCATGTGTTGGCATATATTATTTTGCATTTTTATCCTCTTCCTCACGTATTTCCACTTGAAACCACAAAGCAGCCAAATGTTGACATCATTCATATTACGCTTGTGTCTGTGTGTGCACGTTAACACGCACGACTCAGTGTTCTTTAGATGGCCTTTGCGTGGGAGACGGATGAAAGATCCACCTCTGCTTATTCCTGGAATGTCAGTGGGGTGGGTGAACAATACATGTGGTCAGTCTGGGTTGAAAGTGCAGGTCTAGCCTTTCTCAGGCGACTCCTCCTGCGGCTCAGAGTATGGAATTCCAATCACATTTGTCTGTCTGCCTGCCTGAAACTTGACAGAGTAGGAAACAATTCTCTGGACCTCAAGCTGAAACTCTTAACCAGCCTTTAGCACGGAGCAGGACAAAAGAAATCCACTCTCCAAACGATTATGCGCAGTATCCCTAACCACTTAATTGCTGCCTTCGGGCCATGACACCTGTAATAAAACGGCAGCTAGCAGATAGATGTGCGGCCTGGAGCTGACTGGGCAGTAGCTAACTTAGCTGTCAGGCCTAAACCCAACAACAGTGGAGTTTGTTGCTCCAAAAAGCACATTAGTAGCACTTAAGCTTTTTGTAATTCCTCAGTAGAGTTTCCATTGCAGAAGCAGTGCCAGCTCCCAAGAAGTGAAACCAAACAGTTTGGGTAGTTCAAATATTTGACATCATTTTTAGTCATCGACTTTTGTTTACAGAGGCGCGGTTAAGTGCAGTTTTACATATTTTGCTTGTTGTTTCTCTCTGGTTCTCTGCTGTGGAAGTGAGAAGTGTTTTAGCGTCCACTATATTGTAACAGATTGGACCAGACAGGATGCAGGGTGCAAGCATCACATGCTCACTCCTTGCCAGCTTTAACTAGATGGGAGGAGGTAGTCTGAGAGATAGTAAAGAGAAAGAGACAGGAAGTATACAATTGGGGAATGAAAACACTGAAAGAGAAAGTTTGTAAGCAGAACAGATGGGACAGTTGATTCATTTGTTTAATGACGATTATTTGAAGGCTGAATATCATGAATGTTTTTGCTATTGTTGCATGACAATCAATACTAAACACATTTCTGTCATCATCATTCAAGGTAGCGTTACTGTCTGAAACCTAATGCTGCTCGTTGCATAAATACCCTGAACAGAGAATAGGTCTCTGTGCATCTATAATTCATTTATGTGTATAGAACCACCCACACATTGGCCCGGGTGGAATCATCACCAAACTATAGGATTGTGTCCGGAGCATATTAGCAGTGAAAGTAAAAGACATCTTCCCCCCCCCCCCCCCCCCCCCCCCCCCCCTGATCTTAAGTGATAGGCATCAACAGTTGAGTACCATGCTAACATTAGTAGCTCTAACAGCGATTGTGCATAGTTTGCAGTAAGCAACTCCCTAGCAAATGGCTAGCTAATTCCCCAGCTGCTGTGTTTAGGATTATCGCAGCACTGTCTGCTCTCTTTGTTTTAACATCTTTTCCACAACAGTGAGCCCTGTGGGGAGTGAGGCCAGCCGGAAGGGCAGCAATGGAGGATGGAGGATCAGGGGTGTGTTCCAGACAGCAGGGATAATCTGGAATTTGAGCATTAGAAGTTACAAATATGTGTAAGACACCCTGCAGAGGGGTTTTGTTTAAGCTGAGGGCTGTGATGTTGACAGCAAAGGTGACATAAATATTGCATCAGGTTGCAACCCAGCAGTGGCTTATTCCAGCCAAACAGAACAGAGATAGGTATAGTAAGGAAAGAGTGTGTTTTTTTTGTAGGCGGCGGATGATAATAATGGAGAGTGGGACGGTGTTATGAGGAAGACTGAGAGGAGGCAGAGTGCAAGGCAGAGCTGTCGTTTCTCGCTTCATTGGTCCGGGATGCGGGGGCTGCAGAGAGGCACAGATGGGAAGAACTCTCCCGTTGCGTAACAGAAACACACAGACTCAGGCTCACACACAAAGACACACACGCTTCATGTTTACTCTTCGACCGCGAGGCTGCTTTAAGCGCAGCAATAGGTGTGCATGTATGTGTTCAGGGCGATAGAAGAAGGATGTTTCCTGCCAGTGGTTGACCAGAGTCTGAGGAAGTCAATCTTCCACCCTCTGCCCAAACTGATCCATATTGATGACTTTTCTTCTCTTCATGCGAATACCAGTAGTAATTGCCTCATGGTGTGTTTTTGTTTATTTAATGTTTGGGGGGGTTTCAGGATGAAAAGTTTCCGTGCTGAGCAGATCTTTGTGTCGACAACAGAACATGTCAAAATGAGTGAAACAGAGATGTCTCCCTCACGGAAAGCAGACACGCTTGGCAAGTTTGATCTAGGCTAATGAAAGAAATAGGCACAACTGCCAACTTTTCATTTTTAACTGAACTGAACAAACATGAGCGCAGTGATGTTATGTCAAGAATTTGTGCCGAGTTGGATGACTGACGAGTCTCTTTTTCGTCGAATGACTCAATTTGTCACCTTTCCTGCAAGTAAGCGACTGCAGGGATGAAAACACTCATTTCAATGAATTACAGGAAAAAGTAAACCAACAGAGCAATTTAAACGTGTCTCACACACAAGGTGAAAGTAAAATCATACTTGTGGAAAGGTGGATTAGGTTCAAAACCAAACCCATAACGTTTTACCTGCTGACAGCTTAGGTGAGGTCAGTTTATTGAAGAAAGGAACCTTTCACTACCTTCTGTAAGCAAATGGGTGGTAACCAAAAATGACATTTTTCTGTTTCCATGAATTCATTAGAGGGGAACTCTTCCTTTAAACCAGGGAATACCTGTGGGTTTGTGTCTCGGAGGGTGGGGAAGCCGGAGCAGGACAGAACTGAGAACGCTTCAATGGCTGTATTGTCCACAACCTCCACCTCCCTCAGCTGGGTCCCGTCAGCGGCTATATTTCTGGGCAGGCACAACCTCTTGCTTTCTTTTTTTAACCTCTCTGGAGTCAGTGTTATTTATCACTTTATTTAACTCGCCCCATCCCAAAGTATCCAGATGGACCTATTGATACCATTAAAGGTTATTGATTGTAGTTATTAAAGTAGTCATTGGGGTGAACTATGTTTAAGAGGGGAAAGTTCACCTCAGTGAAGCATTGTTCATTGATATGTCAAGTTGAAGTAGAAAATGCAAAATGAACGAGGTAAAATGTAGCTGTTAGCTTACTAATACATGAGCTGTTTAGGGTGAACAGTAAAAAAAGATAATATGGAATATGGTCGACAATCTCACCTGATAAAATGCTGTTTAATATGAATTGGAACTGGAAAACAAATAACAAAACGTTATGCTTATACAGTTATGCTACGTGAGAAAAATCTGATTTTTCTTACTATGAAACAAAATAATCAGTGTTTGCATAACTATATAAACCAGGAGTGATACATTTTCAAATGAGCTGTACGAAGCAGTTTATAATGTTACATAGAGGGCCAACTATTGAATTCAGGTTGAAGTGAGACAATACATGTGCTTTACATAGTCATTGTATGTATTACAAAATGGAAGGTATTGGAAAGGACAGAAAATAGTCACTGAGGGCAAAAAAGGCCTTGGTGGTATCTGCTATTTGCAGATTAAATGTGACAAGGTTTGCTATCCTGGTTACAAAATGGTTGATGGTCCCGATTGATGTCAGGACAGCAGAAAGTCAACATATCATCCGTCGCAATTTAAAAACCCACCTGTTTCGCTTGTACCTTGGCCATTAAATCACTTAAAAAAATGTCACCTAACCCTTGCATTTGAAACTAATGCACCAGCACCGAAGCATTTGAAGCAAAATGTTTTTGTTCTGAGTTTGTATCTTTATGGTTTATAACTTATTGTAAGTCGCTTTTGATAAAAGCCTCAGCTAAATGAAATGTAATGCAATGGTGTCGTCAGGGCTGCTCTGTGTTTTGCGGGTATTTGGCGTATTATATTTGTCACTTAACATCATATTGAGTTACATACACTCACATTTTCTCCTCGCCAATCAGATTTGAGCGTGTTTCTTGTCAATGTATTATTTCCGTCTCAGCAACAAGCAGGCGATCAGTGGAGATTACTGTCTGTAGCAGTGGTGGCAGATAGGATCTGAGGCTGTGTGTGTGTCTTCCTCTCTGAGCCTTTCGTGTGTGTGGGTGTGTGTGCAGTTGCACCATGTAATCCAGCAGGCATGGAGGGCAGAAAAAGAGAAGGATTGATGGGTAGAGACCGCTCCAGAGACACTGAGACAGATTGTCGGTGGTACCTCCGGCTGAGCCCACATGGTTAACAGTAGTCCAGTGTGGCACAGTGACCCCCTTTTCACACTGAGAGAGAGGAGGGGGGGGGGCACGACTGTAGCTTTTCAAAAGGCTTGTTCACTCTGTGCTGTTGAGTGTGCTTGGCAGTGAAAGCCTGAGTTACCTCAGCCGGCACACAGTCGGGCCCTGAGTGGTGGAAAGACGAGGAGAGAAGGAGGAGAAGAAGAAGAAGTGGATGTAGAGTGAGGGGGGGGGGGGAAGCGGATATGCCTTTCTTGCCAGCTGGGTGCTCCGCTCAGGCTTTCATTGGGCCAGTGCAACCTGCTCAGGCAAAGCACGAGGGCCCAAAACGACCCCTTTGTTCCCTTGGAAGGGATCGTTATGGAGGAAAAAAACATACTTTCTGTGAAAAATGGAAAAGCATGTGAACTCATTCAAGATTAAAGATCACCTATTATGCAAAATCCACTTTTCATGTCTTTTATACATAAACATGCGTCTCATCTGTGGAAAGAGATTCTGAAAGTTTCAGGAAAAAAGATTCTCTCTCTTTTTGTTCTGATCCATTTATATAAAAATGAAAATGAGCTGATCAGATTTTAGCCACGTTAT